TTTCAGAGGTCACAGTATGGCCCTGTGTTTTTATGCATTAATATCGCTCCAAATCCATGAACCAGCTTTGTAACACTGAGTTTATGAAATTCACGCTTGTTTTGTGGGCAAGTTCAAAAAACACGTCTTTGGCTTTGCTATTTATCAGCAGCTCTCTTTCAGGCAAGCAAAGAAATTTCCCTCACCCACTTCTAAGAGAGAATTGTTGTATTAACATGGGAGCACACAAATTTGGCAAGTGCATGCTCCGGGAGGATACTGCGCATAGTGCAAGTGACTATTGTGCTGTGACAACCTAAGCCAAATTCACTTACAGGTGCTTAAGATAGCTGCATGGTGGTTGCACGTTAGACTTGTGGTAGAAACATGAGAAATTTTTAACACCTTTTCCAGCATCATGTTATAAAAGGACAGACGGCAATTCATGTTGCATCAAGTCGTGGAACTTCCTGCACTGATGGATTATTGACAAATGCACAATTCATCGTGTACTAAAAACTTGCATCAAAATAGTAGATTTAAGTGCTCGAGACAGTTGGTAGACATAGGGACAAACTTTGAGCAGTTTTCAGAAATGAGCAGTTTTAGAGTGTCTTGTTAAATTAAGCAACAAACTCATCAGAGGTGCAGGTTTGAGAAATGACACCTGAATTTGGAATTGTGCTGCTAACCACTTCACTTCTGTGTCCATTAACCTTCCACCTTTCGGCTGTCCAGTCCACTGAGCTTGCTGCCTGCTTGAGGCAGAGACTGTACCTGATCAGCACTGGTGCAACCACAGCGGTTCTTCCATCACAGTTTTTTGAAAAACTATTTGAATTACTTTTTAGCCCTTGTCATTGAAGCAAAAAGCTTGATAATGTCATCTGTGAGATCTCAGACTGCAAACAACTGGTAAAACCAAGCTGGAATGTATTATTCTGTCTTATACCTCCAAATGGAGGATTTTTGACCCTGTGAGTTGGTGATGCCACAAAGAGGCGTTCGGAGATTTCAGGCATGACCTGACTTAGCCCAGCATTTCTGCCTTCAACCACACATTAACAATGACAACAGTCTTCTGCACTCTTCTGAGAAATGCCTTTTATTGTATGACAGGAGCTGTCACGTGAACGTCAACAGAAGAAATCATTCCACAGCAATAACAAAATCAAATTATGACACAAATGAAAAACAAACAAAAAAAAAAACCAAACCGAAACAAAACCAGTTAAAAATTATGAAAAAAGCAGTGCGCTGTTACGCAATGTAAAACATATACAGAAAGCCACATTCTTCCACCAAAGTGTCAGACGCTCATCACCATCACAGGAAATAAGCTATTTCAACTCCCCCCCCCCCCCCCCCCCCCCCAAGGAAACCTTTAAAGTGAGATATTTCGAAGGGTCAGATTAACACAAAAAGCAGCATTTTCAAGAAAGTTTCTATACCATTTGGATCTTTTGTTCCCTTCTGGTTCTTTTTGCAATCTTATTTTAAACAGGTATTGGGAAGGTTAAAAGAAACTGTCAACATCACTTAAACAACCAGCATTACTGATGTAGGTCAGAAGAAGGTCCTCCCTCTTCCAAAGCTTCCAAAGAAAGGGCAGTACAAATGCTAGCGCAGAAGACTACACCTATCTGGCAGACGAGCTCTGGTTCAAGTCACTAGAGAGAATTTTGCCCTTAAAATAAGCAAAACATGAGATAACCTACCCTTGAGAACTGTGTTGGTTTTGACTCTCCCAGCGGTCTTTTGAGGAGGGGTGGAGCAGAGATATACTTAAGTGAATGTCTGAAGAACAATTCTTGAGATCAGAAGTAGAGGCTGTTCCTAGTCTTTTATAAACAAACAAACAGTTCTGTAACTGATGATTTTCAGTATTACTGTATAAAACTATATTTATTAGAAGTAAGACTCTGGAATACTTTAAGGCACCTCATGGTGAAGAAATATTTTAAAGGCTTGAATAACTCAGAAGATTGAGTTCTTTTTCCAAGATCCCCAGGAAGGAATGCAGCTTACAGTAACCAGCTTTGCTATTTCCAAATAACGCATGAACATTTTCAAAGTGGAAGTTTAGAACTATTTGACTTTTCTTTAAAAGGAAACATAAAACACCTTGCCGGAAAAATAATTTGTCCATTTAACAAATTGTCCATTTAACCAAAGCCTTGGTCTGCCAAGGCTTTACCTTTCTCATCCTTGATCTGAGTTTTCCCATTCAGGTACGTTGCACTTTTTTACTCAACTGAAATTAAACGGGCCAGTCGATCTTAACCAACAGTCATCTAAACAAAACAACTATCGGCAACAAAACCAACAAAAGAATCTAAAAAGCAATTTCCTGATTAAAATATTTTTGTTACTTTTAAGCTAAAAAGAGGGATATAATGCCAATGACAGACATGAATGACTCGCTATCAGTTGTTCTACTCAGCAATTTATGGGTTTCAAGTGTGATTTTGTAAAAAATTTGTTTTCTCTTAAATTGATATTTGATACCTACAGCTAGTAGTGTCCTGCCAAAACATGTGAAGAAGCAGAATCAGCATTTTCAGAGATAGCTAACATTTTTTGTGTGCATTCAAAAAGCTACAGGATCAAATTAATTCTAGCTTATAGACTGATAGCTAGATCTGTCAGGGTCTCATACCAGTGAGTCTGCAGCAGCCAGCGTTTTGGAGCTCTGCTCTGAAATATCACTTGCCATAGATTCATTTCAGAGCTGAAATGAACTAAAACTGTAATTAAACCCTTGGTTTATGCATGCATATCTCCTTGGTTCTGATAAAAAAAACCAAACTCAAGGTATACAGCCAGGAGAACGTACTGTTCTCTTAGAGTATTTAAAAGTCTCAGTGTACTATACATCATACTTTCTTATAAGAACTATTTAGAAATCAAAGAATTCACTGTTGTAAAACACAGACTCTGGATATGTCCAAACTGCTCGATAAAAAAGGTAAACAAATGAGCTCAAGCATCAGACTCCATTAAGTCTACACTGCCTTACTGGTCAGCTCACCCTAGCTCTGTTTTGGACCACTCCAGCCAGGTCTCCCCATGACAAAGCTTTGAGCAGAGTTTGGACATGGTTCATACCATGGATCCTTTCCAAAAAGGCAGTTACAGACAAGACCGTGCAAGGTTGAACTTTCTTCATGCTACACAGTCCCCTAGCATTATCCCATGTGACTTTACGCACTCAAACACTTCCCTATGTCTTCACATAACTCTGCAATACAAACACCACTCTGCTGAGCCGCAGAATAGCCCTATCCTTATTTCATACAATTTGAATTGAAAAGGAAACCAAAACAAATCACATTAGATGATAATTTTGTGCTAGGTCCATAAGTGGACTGCACGAGCCCGGAGAAGACCGAGGGCCAAGAGATACAGAAAAGTGGATGTGGCTGGTGTGCTCTAAGAAGGATTAGCCGTAAGCACTGCTTACACGAGCCAATCTGCGCCACGTGGCTTTGGAGACAGGTAGCCACTTATCCCCGACGGTCTGCTATTTAGCACCAGATGTAACACAAGCCCCATGCCGTGCATCGCTGCATGAAGTTGGGTTCCAATGATCTCAATGGCACTTGTTATAGGTGCTACACATCGCAGAAGTGTCAGAACCTGCCAAAAGAAAGCTAGGGACAAGAGCATTTCATTTTTTAACTTCCTGCTAACGACAGAGGAGGACGTTACCAGCAAAACCAGATGCCTGATGTTTGTTTCTGCCCCCCAGCAAGGGAAGCTGGCTGGTGGCACTGCAGGTACTAAGAGGTCCACCCCTCTCTCCTGGGATCTCACAGCAGGACAGCAAGCCTCACTGCAGGGAAGAAGCCGCAACGGGAACAAGGATTCTGCCTCTCACCACTGGGCTGACTCCTGAGCACGACAAAGTCCTTCTAGACGAGCCCTTATGCTGAGGCACAGGCTTTGGCCTCAATTTACTTCTCTAGAAGGAGAGAATAATTTTGTATCTGAATCAGTTATTTGCTGGTAGAACTGCTTGAAATGAGAATCATTTGTGTTTGCCTTACTTTTGGACCACTGGGTGAACATCAGGTAAATAACGTTTGTGTTGCACAGGTAATAGCAAGCATCTTCGGTATTTTTTTAAAAAGCACAGTATTTCCTATGTCCTGAAGAGGTCTGTTGCTTTTTAGTCTCTTCTGTGCCCTTTAAACAGTAAGATGAATAGATTTATTTTCTACTGGACCTCAAAGAGTAGGTATCTCACTAAACATGAAAAAATCTGAAGCAGCATAGCACTTGATTTTTTTTTTTTTTTTTTTTTTTTTTTAGAAAAACCATGGGAATGCTGCCTTTGTGTTAAAGTGCTTTGCTGAATCAGGACATAACTTATGAATACCGAACCTCTCTCTCTCACTGCATTCCTCTCACTATCAGCAACAGCCATTCAAAACTACAGGTTGTACTTTCCTACCTATCCCGGTAGGATGGTAACTTCAAACAGTTCGAGTTCAACAGAACCCCTAATGCAAAACTTTAAATATACTAAGGTTACATATTTTTAACATATGTTTAATGAATTTGTTGTGTACCCTGCAGTTACAGCTTTGGCTTGAAGGCACAAATATTAAGGCACAATAAATGCAAATAATGTATACATTTCAATGTGTTGTGTTGAAGATAACTTTGTACTACACATATTTAGGTATAATGACATGTCATTCAAACGTTTCCTCAAGTTATTTTAATACCTTTTTTTCTTTGATAACCTGGATAAAAAGAGGAATGTATGTTAAATTATTTAAATATTGAGATTGATTTTTCAGCATCTGGATTTCAGCAAAATAAAACGAATATTTACATTCCTCTTGAACACCATTATTTGAATTATTTATCAAAAAAAAAATATATAGTACTTCTTGCTATCAAAAAGAAAAAGTATTTTTGGCTTGTTCAATTCTTTTCTTTGCCAACCTGCATAGCTACTTATGACACGTGGAAAGACAGTTGCACTAGACAACTAAGTTGTACACTGTTGAATCTTCTGTTTAGACACAGCTGTCACGCTAAAGTGACACTGAAAACAATTTGGTTTTGCTTGCTCTCAAAATATTTCCAAAAGAGAAAAAGGACACATTCCAATTTTTTAATAAGCTGCAAATATGCACCCTAGATCTGGTAGGTGTCCTGCACCTGTTTAAATAAAAGAGATCTCTATCACATAACTTTCAAATAAAAACTGAGTCTGCCTAATTTCCTTAGCAATACAAACATAATCAGTTGGAAAGGAAAACATATTGCACTGAAATTAAAGAAAGAGGGATAGTAACAATTTTCTTCTCAGTATTAAATAGGAAGGATGTCCAGTGCAAAGAATCGCCCCCTCCTTTTCCTCTTCGTTGACACTTGCAAACATAGTCACTGAGTTTAGATGATCTCAGGTTTACATTCTATGGAAAACAGTTAAGGTTATTAGGAATCACAGTGCAGTTTCGGTTATGCATAATCCTGAGGAAGGATCCAAGGAGGAGTCTGTGGCAAGTTGACCATTCTGAACAACTTCTGGGTAATTCTTACTGAAGTACACCTAGGAAAAATATCAGATTCTGTGAGTAATTATGCATCAAACTCCTTTTAGTTTCAAATAGAATTTCTGGAGATAAATACAGTAGAGATAAATAAATGTCCTTAAGGAATAAGGAATCCCAACAGGAACTTCAGGTTACTGGCCTTCAGCAACTTTGTGTCACTGAAAAATTAGTAAAATTACTATATGGTCTTACGTTATAATAACATGTGAGAAAAACCCCACACAACCTGTAGATCTACTCAAATTCTGGTTATTCAGATAAATAGATATGTTTTATCACTTTACATTAAACTGATAAGTAAAATCATTTTACTAGCTCAAAACATGGAGATAAATTAAAAACAGGACGACAAAGAAGCTGTGAAATCTTGCGTCTGCACAAGGGTTTCTCATTTTCACACATAAAATGAACACAATGGATTTGGATGTTAATATCAGGTTGTAATCCCTATATTTTACAAACTATGATTGACAACCATTGAAACTTCAAGGTATATGTATGAAATATCCCAGCGTTTAATTTGTGCTGCAGAGCAGTTATAGGGCCTATAGAAATGTGATCTCTGGATAGTGAACCACAATAATGAAAGAAGAAGCAAAAGCTTTAACAATGACTCAAGCAAGCAACTTCTCTAAAATGTAAGGTGATACCAAATAATAGGACAGTTCTTTGCCAAGCCTTTGAGTTCATGAATTCTACCAATTTCTAGCTCAACTAGAAGAGATACAGGTTTCCTGATAAATGTATAATCAGAACATAAAGGAAATGAAATGCTGTCAAGTTTCACTGTTCCACAATCATCAGTTTTTAGTAGCTGTATCATATCTCTGTTCCTTGACAGATGCGCATAACAAAATGAAATAATGTCAAGACTTGTGTGCTCTTATCTAAAAATGTGTTTGGGTGAAAAAGGACTTCAAATGCAATTTTTTCAAAGAAGAATGTGAAAAGTTTTGTTTGAGTCTTTAAAAACAGAAAATACACTATCTTTCTGAAGCTGACACGTGTCACAAGTTAGGTCTCATAGTCAGACTGCTTTGACTATGGCTTATGAAACATTTCTCCAATTTATATTTGAGAGTGTTGTCAATAAAGTTCAGTTTGATAATAATGTCCTTTTCATATATATGAATACATGTATAAGACATGCAGGATAAAAAAGAAATAGTAATTCTATAAAAACATTCCTGTAAGTACCACTGTCGTCTTTTGTGCACACACGTTAACGCAGGATATATGCATCTTTACAAGTTTCAAAGAATATTAAGGTCTGATTTGAATCAATGAAAGAATTGGAAGTCCTGTTAAGAGGCATTCCTCAGTAAGCAGCCACGATCGGATGCAACAGAGGAAAGTTAATCAGGCGCCTGCCTGCACACACGCTGCAGACGGCAGCCCCAGTTGTGTATTCCCATCCTGTTCCTGGTTTAAAACATAAAACTTTGGCATACTTTTAATGCAGCTTCTGAATGCAATTTTTTTTTTTTTTAATGGAAAGTTAATAGAAAACCTTGGCACGTTACTAGAGATGTAATGAAATGGCAGCTGCTTTTCAACTGTCTCATTGCAATTCTTCCCCTGAGCCCAATCCCTCAAGATATTAAATGCCCAAGTCTTTATACAAGTTTCTTCCACTGCCAACAGAGCTGCAACCTTTTTAAAAGTAATCACTGAGGTGAGATAACACCTAGTATTTTAATATTTACACATCTGCCGTAGCTTTAAAATAAAATAACCCTTATTCTTCCCTCAAAGTACTCAAAAACTGACTGACGGAAAACCAGCCCCATCCTGATGCCACCAAAGCTTGAGGAAAAGCCCCTCTCAGTGCTGCCAAGAGCATGGAAGACACACCAACTTTTGTTTATCTGAATAATTGAGTGCTTTTTTTTCCTTTTTAACTGTTTGATGACTTTCTCACTTTCCCATAGGATTTTCTCCTACTAGCTTCTTGTAAACTGAGCAACCGTGTTGTTTTCTTTGGCATTTGCACAAAAAATTGGGATACTGAGTGACCAAGAGAGACATACAAATAGCAACGTTGGATCAATTCAGAAGCCTGAGCTAAAGTTCCAGCGATGGCTCGATCTTGCAATGTTTAGCTAAGATGCCCATGAGATTTTTTTGAAAATCAGGTTTCTTCAAAGATGTCCAAGCTAGTCTTCTCATTTAAGATGTGTAGTCCCTCTTCATTTGCACTTAAAGGATATACGCAGAATCCATACTGTTCCAGAAAATGCATTTAAAGTCTCACCTTACTGAAAGAAGCTCTTGGTACAAGTTTGTTCTGCGCAAGATTCAGGTCCAAAATGCAATAAATCAAATAATTATTGCCAAAGCATGGCCACGTTCCAAACCGTTTTACTTAGCAACCCACTGTAATGCTTTTGAAAAGTATGTATATATGTCATATTACCATTTCTTCTTATGTGCAGCATGCTGTTTTTTCAACAACAGAAAAAAAGCTGTTCTTCATAAAAACAGTTCTTAGTAACCACAGCAGGAATGTATGAGACCAACAGCAATACATGTAACAGACTTACTAGTGTAAAAAGAAAAGCCATTGGAATCAGCTCTTCTGACTAAGCAACTTCTCTGAAAGTATGCATGAAGCACAAGGGACGGCAATAACAAAAACCTTGAATTAATGTCCAAGTCCTTCAAACAGAAGGAACTGTAACTGTGCTTCTGGGTAGCTGCTGACTGGAGATATAGTCTCTCGATTCCCATATTCTTGGGCTGAGTGCGGATAAGCACCATGCTTTGCATTCTTGGCAGATGCTAAAGCTTCTATCTGCCTTCTAGCCTGGGAGTTAGCAAACTTTTTCATCAAACCACATTTCAGCAGAGACTGGTTCCTGGATCTCTTCCCTTCCTGTACAAAATCACATAACATTGATGTGGTAACTGCAGATGACTATATGGGCAAGTAACATCAGGCAATTATTTTTATATATTTTGAATTATCTTTGAATGCAATTGTGCAACTGGGGAGGGCTGCAGGGAAGTAAAGAGAGACAGCATGACATGGCTAAATCTCTACAGATGACAGCTAGACAGCCTCACCTCTTGCCATTCCAAGGATCGAGCCTTAGGAAGCTGGCCTTCACTTTACAGACAAACACTGGTCATATGAATTTGAAGCTACTGTTTTAAACATTTGTATAGCTCCAGATTGTCATACACATACCATAAAAAACACGGCTAACCCATTCCTTTCTAGTAATAAAATATAAGCAGCTACATTGCAGCAATGGCAAAGGACAGCAGGACTCATTACATGGTCTGGTTAAAGACAAAGCTGTTTCCTCAGTTCTGCAATTAGTGCTATGCATGAATTTATAGTGTACGCTCTTAGCTACAAAGTTTCACTTGAAAAACTCTTTAAAAAAAAAAAAAAGGTTTCAGCAGCTCTAAAAAAATTCTAAGAATATGAACAGACACAGAAATCTCTTCCCTAATCTTCAGAAAGTCCAGTAAAATAGCCTCCAGACATGAGCACGCAGCCTCCATGACAGCACAATTTTTCATCTTTTTCCAACTTGCTGGAAATGCATCTATTTTTACTAGGAAATAGCCAGGCACCTGCCATTTTGTTTCCTGTCTTTATGTGTTGCTTCCAATCTATTGGTCTCCCGTCTCCCAAGAAAACAGTTTGGAGTTTGTGTTCCCCTAGTTCTGCTCCACACATCCAGCAACTTGAGGAGAGGAAAGCACAAAGGCTAGAGATAAGACCTTTGCCTCTTGACTTGAAAAGGCTCTCTTAGGTCGCTACATGTCTAATATCAGTGCCTTACTGACATGCTGAAAGTAAAGTTACATGACTATGAAGCAAGTTGCTGCCAAACTGAGCACTGCCAGGCTCAACTGAAGCAGTGCAGAAACTTCCTAGGCACTGAGAGAAATAAAACCTTGCTCTGGACATCCTGTGTGGTAAATCATCAAAGAAATCAAGCCAAAAGCTAGTCAAAATGAGTTCCTCAATCACAGGTCAATTTTTTATCTTCTTATCTCTGCTTCAGCTTTCCATCTGAAAAGTGGAGATGATATAGCCTCACCTCAGAGGCATATTATGAAAATTAATCCATTGATGTTTCTTAAACACTTTGATTGCCAGAGGAATGCTCACAATTATATTAATAATTCTGTACTCGGAGAAGGATTTGAATAGTAAGCAGTAAATCAGGCACAGAGCCTTGTAGGGAACAAGGAGGCAACAAAACATTCAACAGCTGTTTCTTAATTGAGCCCTGCTCATCCTATGTGCACAACAGAGCAAGGGTACAAGAACGAAGTCAGAGAAAGCACAAAAATAAGAATGTGATCACACTCCCAGAGACCATAATAGGTACTGAACCTCAAACTAAAATCTGATGGGCCCTTTTAAAAATATAGAAATAACAGATAAATGCTGGACTCTGCAGCCCTAACGTGTTTGTACAGCAAGCTTTTTAAAGATCAATGCCCAGCACAGGTGAGTATGTCATATATTATTTACACTTACCGTTTTGTGTACATACAGAAGGATACAAGAAATCCAAACATTCTTTCAACTCTGGGTATATAAATACACTTATCATTTGGAAGTGTGTATATCCCACTAAAAAAAACCCACTGAAAATGATGGCTTTGCCTTGCAAAGCTGACAGATTCTTTAGTGGAAGGCTTACTATAACACTGAATATGCTAACTTGAGATAAACAAACTGCAGAGACAAACTTAATTATCCCTTCTTCTAAAATTACCCGTTTTGCTGTTTCAATCAGAGAAGCCGCTTCAGTCTTGCCCACTTGTTGCACCATTTTGTAAAACAAGCCATCTTGTTCTTGCAGCAAAATGTAAGGTTCACCATATTCTTTCAGTCTTCCTGCATCTAAAACCTGTTAAATCAGCAGAAACCAACATATTAACATAAGAAATTCAAAAACAAATGTTAGAGACTACAAGCAAAGGGGGAATGTATGCCCTTTAAGTGCGAAGATGAATTTTGTATCCTGAAAATGAAATATGTCCTCTTCAAACTAGCATAGGACTTTTTCCGTTTATAGACCTGTTGTACAATTTTAGAGTGCCCTACAGCCATTCCACCTATAGGAATCCAATGCAAAGTTATGCAGAATATGGAAATAAAATGTTTGTGAAGCCAAGAAAGCAGATTATAAGATTCATTGTGTAAGAAAGAAACAAAGAGGCCTAAAATGGGCTCTGAAGTAAACAGCTGTGGGTAAAAACCACGCAATAACCACCAAGACGGTTAAGGAAGAATAAGTAGGTCTTTTGGATTAGAGGAGGTGCAGATGTAATTAAAGAAAATGAGGGTGTTGCTGAAAAGATAAACAATTTCTTGCATCAGTTTTTGCCAACTACATATTAGAAAGACACTTACCCTGAACCTATTCTTTCTACATAAAAAAAAAAGATGAGATGCCACCAGGGACATAGGTACACAAAAGAGAGGGAGAAAGAAAAAACCAAGAAATTAAAAAGGCATTAAATCAGTATACCACAGAGGATATATACAGGCAAAAATATCAGAAAAATTTAAGAATAAGCTGATTGAACCTCTAAGAAAATATTCTCATACTAGTGGCTCTATTTAAGGACTGCATGGTAGCAAATATTGCACTTACATTTTGAAAAGCCTTACAGGATTCATTCAGGGAACTTTTAGACTAGCATATATATTTTGAGATAAAATTTAGTTAAAACAATCATTAAAACACAAGTAGAAGACACACAGATCACAGGTAGAATTTGTTCTCTGCAGTTGTAGCAAAAGTAAATTGTACCTCACAAATCTGATACAGTTCTTAATGCACCAGAAGAAAACTAAAGGAGAAATGGTTTATATGGATTTCCAGAAAGGTATCTGGTGTAACTAAATAGCCACAAGGGACAAAAAATTTTCAGGAACCTAGACAGAAAACAGAGGTTAGAAATAAACAGCGCATTTTCCTTTGTGGAAAGCAGAACAGGTAGGAACTGGTAGGAACCACATCATTCTGGCACATGGGGTAGCTATGTATGTGTTAGTCATCAGAAAAAGGAGTTACCAGAAAAGTGACAAACCTGCAAATGACACAAAAATGTGCAGGTAAGTCTAGACCAGCGGAGATTCAGTTACACCTAACTAACCTAAGAGAACGAGAAACACAATAGCAGGGAAAAGTCAATATTGACAAATGCAATGCCCTCAAATACTGAACTGGCTTATAAATTAATGGTATTGACTCAAGAAAGAGATTTGGGTATCAGTCTACAAGTTCAGTACTTTAGTCCATGTGTAGGAGCAGTGAAGTTGAAAAAAAAAAAAAAAGAGAAAGAATTTATGTGAGAAAACAAAGTAATTCAGAAAATATTTTTGTTCTTATATAAATAAAAAACTGAATACATATGGCATACTATTGATAAAGACAGTGCCACAACAGAGGGACTTCAAGGACTCATAACCAAGCCATAATTGTGGTATACATACTTCTAAGAAAAAAAAAAAGATCTAAGGAACTGGAGCTGTTGATTTCAGGATAGAAATGAATAAAAGGTATTATGAGGACAATTTCCAAAATAACAAAAATAGTTTGCAAACTTCTGTTTGCAAGAAGGAGCTCCAATAAGCTTGGAGACAAATTCAAAGTCCTGTGAGGAATCTTTCAAATGTGCACGTTGCCTGTGCAACTCCTTAAAGCAAAATGTCCTGATGGCCAAGATCTCCAAGGGGCCTGAACGCCATTAATGACAAAGCCCGCAGTGAAGTAGGACAGCTGAGCTGATCCCTTTGCCTGCAATGGTGTGAAAATTACACACTGCCAAGATCGCTGTCGACTCGTTTGACACCGGGCATCCGGCACCAGGGGAAAGGTGCCCACTCCTTCGCTTCCAGTTCAATTAAGTACAAGGCATTTGAATGGAAAATAACTCGGCCAACAACAGCAGCGTAATTACATCTGATTTTATAAATTGTATGCACAGAAACCTGTAAGAAGTTATTTGCTATTTTCACAAGTTCATATCTCAGAGCACCCAGCTTATACTATGATTTTCCCTTGCAAGCGATTTCCAATACCGTTGGGTATATAGCTGAAGAAAGTGCTCGAGGAAAAATTTTAGAATATTAGTACTATTGCATAGCACAATATATAGTCATTTAATATACAATAGATGCAGTATTTCACCTGCAAAAGTATACTTGCACACATGTTGATTTTTCAGTGTACTTGGTCCTATCCCATTTAATCTGAATATTTAAGGATTAATTATAAATACAATTTTAACTGCAGTCTTTTATACACTACAGGATGTCACAGTTAAGGACAGCTTCCTTAAAAATGTAATAAATCAATTTATCATATGCAGTTCAGCATAATAATTAAATTAGGGTGCCACAGCATAGGACATCTCTAGTTCCTTGAACAATTAAAGGGTTTTTTAGCATAGCACTAGATTATGTAACCACTCCTTAAGAAAGAAAACAAAAAGCATCTTCATTAAATGTGTTTCTCACAAGTAAAGAACTACAATAGAAAAATAGAGGGTTTTTTAAAATTTATATTACCGCAGGATCCAAATTTTAACATTAATTTTGCAAATATATGAAACGACCACAAACACGGACAATCTTTCTCCTCCAGAGAACCTGGGAGGGAAAAAGGAAAAATTTATTCTTCCCTGACAAGTTTTAAACAGCCAAGTCCAGAAGATGAACAGAGAGAGTGAGCGATTTGTGTCTAGAAAAATTCCATTCACATTTTAAATAAATCATTAATCTATTCAAATCCTTTCTTGGGGAATAAAACAAAACTTGTGTTATGAAAATAGACAGAACAAACACAGGGAAAACAACCCGTGTTACTTTTTTTAAAAATTTGAAATGAAAAATAAAGAATGAAACTGAAGAGACAATATCATTCCTGCAAGTCAGGAACACTCTATAAACCCTATTCACCAAGGAAAAACACTGTTTCTACTAACTGCTGTCATCTACGAGACAATGGAGAAAATTTAAGCTGATCTACTTGGTAGTTATACATTTATATACTTACACATTTATTAAAAAGCACTTGAACAAAGAGAGAGGTACTCTTCTTTGAAGAAATGTGTGCTGATAAAATTTAAATAAATAAATAGGTACTTTGGCTAAGGCTTTGCATACTCTCACTCACTGACTCCAAGCCAAATTAAAATCATTAGGACTTCAAAAAGCCAGCTAATCATTCAGGAAAGGTGGAATCTGGTGTTTACCAGCCACATATTTTCTGATCAACTTGCATGCAACGCTTATCACTGCACAATATGACCGAATCGAACCCAGATGCGTTCCAAGGCAGTTGTACCAGTGGAACTCGATACAGAAAAGCCAGAGAAGCTTGTAGCTGGCGAAATCAGATCGGCAGGGTGATTATGGAGGACGCATGCAGGAGCACAGGACTCTGAATCAGACTGGGATTTCATTATAGACTTCAACGCAGACACAGAGAGAGGGGATTTGGACAAGTCATCCAACTTTTCAGCTCTCCGATCTGACTCTTTATAAAATACACCAAATAAAGACTCATAATCATTCTGTGGGAGTTAACTGCCTGTGAAATACTTAGACAGCCCAGAGTAAAATAAAAACAAACACAAAAAAGCTATATAAACCCAAAGTAGTCATATGCAAACCAGGGCCAGATTCTCCACCATCTTGCACTGGCAGCTTCTTTTACCTCACTTGCACTGCTCTTGCCTTTGTAGTCACATCCTTATGACTTCAACAGGATTTTCTCAAGTAGAAGAGTAACTCCAACAGTACAAAATTTACAAAATTGGCTGCTGGTGATCATGCAAAAGAAAGCATGCAGGAAAATTCTTATTCAATGGAATTTGCTCATGTCCTTGCATAAGGTGAAACTGCTCTTTATTTATAGCTATCCAAATTATCCTTACTCAAGCAGCACTATTCAGACATCCTAAGTTCAAACAGGGCTCAAATGCTATATTCTTCTTGAGTAAAATCCTCTCATGCTACCTAATTCCACTCCATCTAATGTTTCATCCTGGTTGAACAGTCTGGGCAGTGACTGCTCATCCTAGTTGCGATGTTTTCAGAAGGATAAGCACCATGTTGGGTAGAAGGCAACATAGTTTGGAACAGCACTTTGTTTGACATAGAGACACTGAATAACAAAGAAAGAGTGAGATTAAAAACATGGCAGGGAAGGATGGTGAAACAGAAAAGAAGTATTTTAATTTGACTGACCTGCAAAGGCAAACATGAAAATGGTGTATTAGCCATTTAAACGTGGTGTTTATGTTAACTCTAGCTAGCACAGAAGGACTATTTGCCTATACCACAAAAATGGTGCTGAACTAAATTTATATAAGATTTGGCAACTACAAACCAGTTGTCCATTTTGCCTCATCTGTACCCTACCAGGGTATCTATCTCCACTTTGCCTAGGTCTGCCCCAAGAAAACCAAATTTTGCAGTATTTCCATTCCATAGCCTCACAGTTTAATGTATTAACAATGACAAAAAAAGGGGGGGGGGGG